AGGGCAAGAGAAATGAAAGAAAAATGTGAGATAGAAAGTGAAGTATAAAATAGAAATAAAACAATACTTGGATTGTTTCAGTTCCTGAAACTGACATGCCAGTTGTTTCAATGATAGGTTAAGACATGTTCTTCAAAGATATAATATAATAAATGATGGTAAAATGGGTGAAATATTGTATAAGTGGAATCTCTTGTCGTCCATTCATAATTTACGAAAACGAAATGTTGCCTTTTACTCCTGGAAACAATGAGTTTTCATAACTCAATAACTAATCGTTATGAAAACTCATGAGTTTTCATAACTCAATAACTCATCGTTATGAAAACTCATGAGTTTTCATAACTCATCGTTTCCAGGAGTACAAGGCAACAAGCAATGCATTCATGGTTCAGCATAGTACCACTGATGAGACCTATGGCGGGTCAGGTAACAATTTAAAGATAGTACATCAACCTGAACATAAACAGACTGTAAGTTTAGATATAAAATTGTTTTTTAATTATCAATTAATTTGAAACAGCCCCTTCAAAATTTGTGAAAATATCTCGATATTCAGCTCGGAAAGGGAAGATAGGCATCTGTACATCTGGTCAACTAACATATGTTCATGACTATATTCGAAATGGTCTCTGTCAAGTATGTGCTAATTATTCTTCATATTCTACGGTGGGAAATGTGTTGACACTTTTAGAGAGTCAACCAAAGTAAAAGCTCAAATAACATTCTTTACGAACGTTATTGGGAACATCTGTTTTATGAAAAATACCTGAACTGTGTTGTCCGAAACCAGACGCCTACATTATTTCTTTTGAGTGAGGAATTTGGAGGGTATTTTTTCAACGGATTATCAGAATTATATGTGAAGACTTCTGGATACAGTGTAAGCATGACCTGAAAAGTATGAATTTTTTCGTTTTTTAACTATCATGGAAAGTATTTTTTAACAAAAGAAATCCACGTTGAATAATCAGCTAAGATTTTCAGTTATTTGAAGACTAGGATTTAGTATCAGCTATTTTCCACGGAATAGCTATATAGATCAGATAACGGATCAGCTATCCAGATTAGATTAGCTATTTCAATCTAGGTTAGTTATAGCTATTTTTTCAACGGTTTATCAGCTATTTTTTAAACGGATCATCAATGATGTTTCATAAGAAACAATTTCTTAAAAAAATGCCGACATTTCTTCATTTCCTCAAAACACAGTTTCAAACGAATACGTCTGCTTTCACTCTATCTTTTCACCTAATAAACCTGCATCTCCTTTGAAATATCCATTTATTAGTTTCTTTTTTCATTACAAAATCCATCTATATCACTTCCATCTGGAAAGTCTTATTATTTATATCACGTTCTGAAATGTAAACACGACCGCAGACAGGAAACAGACATTTGAATGTTAACACGGAGTTTTCTGCAGAGCAGTGAGTCGGTACTTTTACGATCGGCTTAATGGGGATGGATGATTTTAATTTAGATGCGATATCGTCCGACATAGTTATGATGAATCATACGTATTTGTTTCATGGCCCCTTTCATTAGTTTCGTCTGTATCTAGTGTAGGGAGGTTAGGTTGTAGGTTAACTGTGGTGATAATAATTATTGACATGAAGGAATCTTCATTACGCGAACATCTGTGCCGCCGGCCTGGTTACCGGCTTGATTCCGATCTGAATAATAAAGTTATATACGAAAAATACAACCGTGTCTGTTATCTTACGGCATGACACAACTTCTGGCCTAGTTACCGGCTTGTTTCCGATCTGAATGTTGAGGTTATATAAGGGAGTTGCAGTCGTGCCGTGCCTATGCATGTGTGATATGATCACATGAAGAGCAGGCACTCAGAAACAATCATATTTGATTACACTTGAAATAACAGTACAAGATAACAACTATTGATCTGTTCAGGTTTTTAGCTTATACTTTTTCTGATCGTCTAAAATCAGTGAGTCACTTATCGTTGGCGATTTTCATAATGAAGACGTCATTAATTGGTTTGACAGAAACCTCACACCAGGCAAACTGCAGGTAGACCGTTGCACAGCCGAAAAATCTGATTCTCCTCGCATGGTTCATTGCAAGCAGTTAACTGGCTGATACCAGAGTCCAAAAGCATTACATCTGAGATCAAATACTAGTCAAGGCTGTCTCGATCTGGCATAGGTTTCATTGGTGGAACTGACGTGGGTCATGGATAAAGAATTTGAATGGTTTTGTTCTTAACAATAACATCTCTGAGTGAAAAATTGCAGGATGAGTCTTCTGACTTGTTCATTTCTTTCAAGGGTTCAGAACATTTCATGGGCTTGTTGCATTTTCCCTCCCATTATTTCATGACACCCGCTATGGGCCTTGTTTCATTTAGTAGTTTATACAAGTCTCCCATTGGACATTTAGCATGACGAGTTATCTCTGCCTCTTAACTGAATTGCCTGCTGCAAAAGTATTTTTTACATAAGTAGCTGTATTTTGTTGAGGTATCCTATAAGGTGTCCTATAAGAGAGATGGACATTATCCAGTGAGTAGGCATTTTTCCCAGCCTTTTCTGTTGAAGAAGTTCCTCAGTTCTTTTCTCAGATGATCCCTTTATCTAGTAGAAAACAATCGTGAACAGGTAAGTATTATGTGTACTGACATTCAGAAATCATTTGGTACAATTGATCATTATCAACGAAGCAACCGGATAATTTTATTCTTTGGTTGTACTCATAGATTTCCATTTACTTGATAGAAGATGGTATGTTGAATATGGAGGCCATACTTCTCACCATTATCTAACTACTTCAGGTGTCCCAGAATGATCCAATCTAGGCCCCCTTTTGTTCGTCATATTCTTGAATCGAAATTTGGAAATATTTTGCTCACAGATATAATCAGTATCATCCTTCAGTTGTTACTGCTTTAAGAGATAACTCGATTAATGTGTGCGAAACTGGTCTAGTTTTTCTATTATAGACAATTTGAAAATACTGCGTCATACATTCATTAGAAGCAAAGTGGACTATGAAACTCTTTTCTGGTCACCACTTCGGGAGAGGTTATGACCACATGCTTCTCTTGAACTATCTGAATCTGTAGAGAAGGCAGGGTTAGTGTAGGCCTACAGCACTTAGGCCATTGTACATCCTTCCGAGGAGTTGTCCTCCTAGGTCATCGTCTAGCATGACCTTTCCAGGAAGATGAACAGGTCACTAGGAGATATCCTTCCGAGAAATGGTCCCCCTAGGTCATCATCCAGCTTGCCTTTCTAGGGGCGAAACTGGAAGACGAACGAATGGACATAGGCTGGGTGTACGAACGGGAGGAAAATGAATTGGTACAGGGGAACGAAAGAATCTTCGGACAGAGTAGCGTGAACGAGGCAGAAGTGATAGCGATTGAGAAAGTGATAGGTATGTGGGATATGAACGAGAGTGTGACTGTGATAAGCAATTCTGCCATGGCTGTGGAACGTATGAATGAGAGGGTAGTGCGAATACAGAGGATGATAGAGGAGAGGAATGCGAGGGGAGCGCGGACCTGCTTAATCTGGAAGCGCGGTCATGAGAACAACAATCTCGGAAATAAGAAAGCTCATGAGGAGGCAACAAGAGGTATGAGGAAAGCTGAGGTTACATGGGAAGTAGTGAGAATAGGTTGTAAGAATGAAGAGAGGAAGAGGATTAAAGAACGAATCAGGACAGAGTGGCAGGGGAAATGGGACACGGGAGAGACTGGGCGGCTGTTCTGCAGATTCTGCAGGATAGTCAGGAGTGAATCACTGAATCTGTCGCGGAATGCCACCCAGCTGCTTACGGGACATGGTAACTTTCCGGGATACCTTGTCGGGTTTAACCTGGGCCCGGAACTACCATGTTTCTGCGGCTACGGTGAGCCCGAAACGGCGGAACACGTGATAGAAAGATGCATGGATGGATACAGTACTGGATGGCGTGAATGGAAAGAATATAAGGAGCGAGAAAATGGCGAGATAGCATTGAGAGGAGAGAATGGAAAGAATAGTGAATGGATAAGGTTTGTCAATGAATGGGCGGAAAGTATGGTGAGGGATGAAAGAGAAGGGTGAAGGGCAGGCTGTTAGCTTGGTGCCAAGGATCTGGAGTAGCAAGGACCTCGAGTGTTGGCGACGGTCTCTTTGGCGGCCATAGATATTGTTCGGGCATCGAGCTATGTACAAGCAACAGAAGACATGTTTATTTTGATTATTATTGTTAATTGTTGATTATTGTTATTGTAATTATTGTATTATTATGGAAATAAAGAAAAGGGTTTTCTACCCCGCCAATTTGAAAGAGTGAGGGTTCCATTGACAGTGGTGGCAATGGATAGAGGAAAGATGCTCCATTGAAAGGCCTCCGGCTGTATCAGTTTCAAATAAGTATCAGTTTCAAGATTGTTCAGAAATAGACCGATGCATTCGCAAAATTCACCCATAGAACTAGCTGCATCAGTGGCACGACTAGAGAGGGTTATAGGTCATGAGAGGGACTCCAAATGATATGTTGTATGCAAGTGGAGTTTTAAAGAAGGTAGGAAAAGAGTAGGGACAAGGGTTCTACCTTGGGGGTGGATTCAACAATATCTTTGATGCTGCTGTTGCTGTACTTTCGTTATTCCCAAACCGGCCCTCCGTAGATTTGTGTGAGGTGTGGTTAATCGAAGGTTTATTCTTCAACGTACGGCCCCACAGCATGGCTATCTTTGATCCCGTTACCATTGATACTAATAGAACACTAATAATGATCCTGATGACTGGCAAAACGTTCCGCAAAAATTATTATTATTATGTGAATGAATTTGTTGCATCATTGAACCACCCAACTGCTTCGATTCATATCCATGGAATTTCAAGAACAACAGGTTTGTTTAAAATATGTTTTCCGTTAACCAGCACCCCTACGAACGACAACCCTCAAAAGTCGAAACTTGTGCGAGCTAAGGAATAACGAGGTCTTACCTTTCAACGTGTGAATACTAAAACAGAATAACACAACTTTTGAAATCGATATATTAAAAAAACATGATCTAAGCCTGTGAAAAATAACATTTTTGGAACAAATAATTATACGAATTGAATATGTTAATAGTAATGTCAATTTCATTTATCCTTTTAACTCTTTGGTAATCACTAAATTCCGATTTTCGATTCTATTAACGAGCTAAGATTCTTTTTTTTTCATATGAATAGTTCATTTTTTCGCCGCAAGGTCCGTTACATAAGCACTTCATCATATTATACCCTGTTTTGCACAATGATAGACCTGGTAGATATGAGGATAATTCCAATATCTCATGCACGTGGAAAATGAACGTATCTTGATTTTATCGGCGTCACAAGCACCCGTTGCCCCAACACCCGCACCAGGGCAGCTTCCCGGAAAGAGGCGCATTAGGAATCGTCGACATTTTCCTCGTATTTTCCGCCGTCTCGCAACTGCTCACGCTGTTCGTTCTTTCCCGGTCCGAGTACTCTTCGAAATACATCGAACCGAAACCTAAACCTATTCCCAAGCCTAGAGTGTTCGACCTGTCGGTGCAGACGCTGAACGATCTTTCCCGGAAACTTCTCGGTTCGGCGAGGATGATGTTCGACCGCCGCAGCTTACCTTTCTCGAGTTTTTTGTGTTTGCGGTGCCTCTTTTGAATACCTGAAAGAATACAAGAACTTATATTAATGCCATCAATATCAAATCTACGAATCTATTTTCCATTTTACACTGTAGCGAATGGGCGAATTCGGCCCTGTACGAATGGGTAAATTCGGCCCTGTACAGTACATAACACCAACTGAAATTCGCTGGTGGAGGAGAGGAGGAGGAGAAGGAGGTTGAGTTTTTTTTTTCGAATAAAGTTGTCCCTATTTTGAAACACACGGAAACAAGTATAAGTAATTTTTTGCTAGAATCTTTTTGGCAACACTGTTTTTGACAGACAACGCGTGAATCGTGTCTTGTGTCGTTGTCAAACGTGTTCAGTTTGGTCTATAATTTAACCATGAATCGACTTACGAATGAACAACGCTTGCAAATTATTGAATTTCATTAATAAAATTCATGCTCGGTGCACTTCTTCCAATTTATGGGCAGTTTCGTCGGCCTACTGAGGGAGCTATTCGGAAGCTTGTGACTAAATTTCGAACCCAGTTTACATTATTGGACATTAAACCCCAACACGCATACGTAGAGTGAGGATCGAAGAAAATATTGCGGCTGTATCCGCCAGTGTTCGTGATGATCGTGAAATGTCGATTCGCCGCCGTTCGCAGCAACTGGGCCTCTGTTACCCCACTTCGTGGAAAATTTTGCTAAAGGATTTGGGTGTAAAACCTTATAAGATGTAGCGAAAAATTGTGTTCAGCGACGAGGCTCATTTCTAGTTGAATGGATACGTTAGCAAGCAAAATTGCCGACCAACCACAAGCATTGCAAGAGCTACTGATGCATCCCGAAAAAGTCACTGTTTGGTGTGGACAATTGCCGGAACGTTACTGTCAATTAAGAGCGCTCCGTGTAATGATTGACGACTTTTTGTTGCCCAAAATGGAAGAATTGGATATGCCTGACATGTGGTTTCAACAAGACGGTGCCACATGTCACACGGCACGCGAAACAATGGCCCAATTAAGAGCCGCTTTTGGTGAACAGTTTATCTCACGTTTGGGGCCCGTCAATTGGCCGCCTAGATCGTATGATTTAACGACTTTGGATTATTTCTTGTGGGGTCATGTTGAATCTCATGTCTACAGGGATAAACCAGCAACGACTGACGCTCTGGAAGCCAATATTGAAGCATTTCTACGTGAAATACCGGTCGATATGTTAGAGAGAGTGTGCCAAAATTGGATCTTGCGCATGGGCCATCTAAAGCGGAGCCGCGGACAACATTTGCATGAAATCATCATTGAAGTCAATGAAGTCAATATTTCTGACAGAATGGTACTGAATGATGCCTGTAAAGTTATCAGGAGTTCGGATACCCGTCTTTGTATCGTGCGATATCATGAGAGAGCAACAATTGCATCGTGGGGTTTCACGTGTGTCAACAACAACTGAAACTGTTGTTGTTGACACTTAAAGAAAACTACTTCGATCACGCCACTGAAGATGAATGCCGCAGTTGCAGTTGAAACGTTTGGGGATTATAACCAAAGAAGATCACGACAAAACCCGGAAGCTAATCAAAACAGCAATTGGAGCATTCCTCTTTAAGGCAGCTGCCTAAATAGCTGATGAACTCGGTTTAGTTTTCGACACTGAACAAGGTGATACCAACTATGTCATGGAGCTAGAATCCGTACATATAAAAGCTGCACTTCACTCCTGCGTTAACACAAGGATAAAACAACGCAAGGGGTCTTCTACAACAACAGCTTATCAAACCACCAGACCTTTGCTTTCCCCAGGTCGAATGGGTTGGAGTCGGAAACTGAGGGGTTCATCATGGCCTGCTAGGATAGTGTGTTGAATACGTTAGAATGTCCTAGTCGCCTGACGAGAAGGTCCTAACACCAGATGGATGGAGGCGGTGGTCGGACAATTTGTACTGAAGAAGATGGTGATCATAGTACTAAATACCGTTATGTTCCTGATAACTGGAATGAATCAAAAGGTTCCTAGAAAGTAAACTGTAGGCGAACTTAGATAACCAAGAACGTAGAATCGAAAACTGGACCAACAAGACAAGCAGCAATGGAAAAATTAAAATAAACAAAGAAAGATCAAGGAAAGAAACAGAAGGAAAGAAGCAAATAATGCTTCAATATTAATTGTTTCATTGAAAATAGTTGACCAAATAGTGTGGGGTCATCAGACCAACGAAGCAGATGGTCTACATTACCTGCTCATATTTTAAAAATAGTTAAGATGCAGATTTGTGATCTGCACTATGGAACCTCCATGGAGAGTATCACAATCCAACCTAATAAATTTATAAACACAATTTGTAAAGTTATTCAAAAAGTTGGCGATGAACAGTTGAAGACAAATGTCTTCGGCCCAATACTTCTAGAGGTTCACCTCTATGAGAGTTTTCCATGTATTATCTTAATACTTATTCATATATTACTGATTGATTGATTGATTGATTGATAGCACTTTATTTCCAACAGGCACTCACCCAATTACAGGAAATGTACAAAGGTATTGATGTAAATATATGCAAAACAGTATAATTAGTTAAAAAAAAAGATTGCTACAACTAAAAGAAAAATAAGTAGAAATAGAAATATATCACAAGAAGCGAAACGAAAAGTGATCACAGCTAAAAGGTTGTAGTGAGAATACATTTTAAAATAAAAGTTTGAGAATTGTGAATAATATCACATATATCACATATTGAATTATAGTTGTTATTTGTTCTGACAAGATCACAGTAAAATGTCGTTTGGTATATGGAATTAAGGCGTGGGGTGCGGAAGTTGATCGTTTGTAAAAGAGGTACACACGAGATCTTATTGTTTAGCAGTTTGTGAAGAAAGGAGATTGTGACAAAAAGTCGTCGTGTATTCAGAGATATTACTTTAAATTGATTCAGAAGGATAGAATAGTCGGTTCCCCTCTGAGGATATATTCCTGTGACCTTGAAAGACAGATATTTGAAAAATTGTTTTTGAACAGCATCAATTTGATGTATGTGGCAATTGTAAATTGGATACCATATTACCACGCCGTATTCTAGTTTAGGCCTCACATAGGCATTAAACAGTGATAGAATCGTATTAATATTCTTGAATTCTCTGGTACTCATTATTATAAAGCCCAACATTCGATTCGCTGATGAAATAGCCTGGTCTATGTGGGAAGTGAAAGATACTGTTTTATATTGATATTGTAACGAATTAATGAATTGAGTATCTTAAACGAATTCATTTCCAACAATATTTCACTAATCACAAACTAATTTATTTACAACACTAAGCAACTAACGCTTAATTTATTTCCACTTTTTGAATTCCTTGTTTAACCGTTCGATTCACTTTCTGAACTAAACTGCACTCTTGGGACGAGAAGCCGGGCTTATATATCGGTAACGATCGTTCTAGAATTCTGAAGTCGTTTCGGTACTCGGCAAGAGTTTAACCAGCGGTTGCCGACTGCATTCCTTTTGCGGTGATGGCATATGTTTATTCGCTGGCCGACATATCGGTCAGGGGCGTCTTCAGATTCGTTACAATATATATTATGTTGTGTAGCGTTGATGTGAATTACGAGTATATCAATATATGAACCAAACTTTGCAGTAAGCTTAATTCAGTTGAAGTGGAGTAATTAAATATATGTAGGTGTATCAACTACGACTGACCCATAACTAAACTTTATTGTTCACTGGTGGTTTATATTTGAGAATAATCAACATTGGGTTCAGTAATTGTTATAGTTGAATATTTGAAGACTTTCTTTATTTTTTTACGAACTTGGGGAATTATGATCACATTACAACCAGCACTTGCTTTTTCTGGAAAGTCAGAATCAATCAATAGCTAGAAGTAATCGATAAATAAGAAAATAGTTACCTTCATCTTTAACTTGAACATGTTTACGATCGGGGCTTACTGATCTGCTTTTCCCAATCTTCTTCTCAAGACCTTTGTCCTTTTTTTCAGTCGCTATGGAATTTCTTTTTTCGGAACTGGACTTGCTCTCTGAACTACTAGTCGTTTTCGGCTCCGCATTAGATTCTACAACAGATTTTCTCGTTTCCAGAGTCGGAGTTTTCGGATTCGTCGACTTGTTCTTGTCTTTATCATTGAATCTTTCGAAGATAGACATTTTCCTTTCCGGTGGGGTTTTGGGAATTATGGGCTCTGATCCGTAGAGGAGGTTTTTGTTTTGTCCCTTTTTGCCTTTGAAGTGTATCGAAACTTTTTTTCGAATGCTCATCTTGGGAGATTTCATGTCGTCTTTGGATTGCTCGGTGGTTTGTTGTAATTTTTCGTCGGTTTTTTTGGATTTGTTCGGATTGAGTCTGATGGTCCCTTCGTTTTCGCTCGAAACGTGTTCTGATGAAGTCAGATCTAGTAGGTTTGTCTTCGAACCTGATGTGGGACCCATTTTACCTGTAACATGTCCCATATCAATAAGACCAACTCCATGTTTACTACAAATAATCTAGAAGCTCTTTCAGTCAATCTTCAACAATAAGGTTATTATAACTTCGCATAGAAATATCTTATCGTCATACCTCTGACTGCCTTACTGAAATGGCCAATAATTCAATAAATCTAAGCACATTACCCTTGAGTCATAATGTGTATCATACCCACTGCGCCAAAATTATCGAATCACTCATGAGTGACATCAGCGCTCAGTCGATCAACATTTACTTGAATGAAATCAATATTTGAATGCATTCATGCATTAAAATACGGATTATCAAATATATTACTCACCTTCGTTTTCTTTTTGTAGACTTTCCTTCGAAAAAAAATTATCGGGATTGTATCTCACGCCAAAGTAATCTGCGTTGACATAATTGTCCCTCAAATTTCCGAAAAAGAAAGGATTCGTGTCGATGTCTGCCATACCCATGACGGGTGCGCTATTGGGTATTATATTGTGGTCCACGGCACGTTTGGGGGGCGGTATCAAACATAGATTTTGTTGCGAAACTGACAGTTCTTCTATGGGCTTCGAACTGAGACTTTCCATACTTCTGTAAATCATAAACATAAATTGAAATGTTCAAAATGCATTACATCTAGCGAAAAAAAAAAGAGAAAAAAGGGATGAGGGAATCTTCCAAAGAAAGGAAGGAAATAATCAATTTGAAAATAAGTAACTCTATACATGGATGTGTAGATCTTTCAGCTTTCATGCTTTTTTGCATGATCTTCACATCCATGTATAGAGTTATTTATTTTCACGTGATTACGTCCTTCCTTTCTTTGGAAGATTCCGTCATCCTTTTTTTTTGTATCAAGATGGAGTAGAAAGCCAAAAACTTTCTTTCCCAAAAATTAATCACNTTACACTTGAAATAACAGTACAAGATAACAACTATTGATCTGTTCAGGTTTTTAGCTTATACTTTTTCTGATCGTCTAAAATCAGTGAGTCACTTATCGTTGGCGATTTTCATAATGAAGACGTCATTAATTGGTTTGACAGAAACCTCACACCAGGCAAACTGCAGGTAGACCGTTGCATAGCCGAAAAATCTGATTCTCCTCGCATGGTTCATTGCAAGCAGTTAACTGGCTGATACCAGAGTCCAAAAGCATTACATCTGAGATCAAATACTAGTCAAGACTGTCTCGATCTGGCATAGGTTTCATTGGTGGAACTGACCTGGGTCATGGATAAAGAATTTGAATGGTTTTGTTCTTAACAATAACATCTCAGAGTAAAAAAGTGCAGGGTGAGTCTTGTGACTTGTTCATTTCTTTCAAGGGTTCAGAAAATGTCATGGGCTTGTTGCATCTTCCCTCTCATTATTTCATGACACCCACTATGGGTCCTTTTCCATTTAGTAGTTCATACAAGTCTTTAGTTGATACAAGTCTATACAAGTGTGGTACACCTGTATAGTGTACCTGTATAGTATAAATAGGGTTAGCCTTGCAAAAGTTCTTCCAGCTTAATCTTCCTCTTGAAGATGATCACTTAGTGATCGAAACACGTGTCAATGTGTTGAAAATAACGATTTTGTATTGGGAAGAAACTCCAGTAATATTCAGTACTACACCAAAGGTTCCAAACAGTGCATCACAATTATACAAGTCTCTCATTGGACATTTGGCATGACGAGGTCTCTCTGCCTCTTAACTGAATTGCCTGCTGCAAAAGTCTTTTTTACGTAGCTTTATTTTGTTGAGGTATCCTATAAGATGTTCTATAAGAGAGATGGACATTATCCAGTGAGTAGGTATATTTTTTCTGTCGAAGAAATTATTGTGTTCTCTTCTCAGATGATCCTTTATCTATCAGAAAACAATTGTGAACAAGTAAATTTTATGTATACTGGCATTCAGAAAGTATTTGATACAATTGATCATTACCTACTATCTGCCAAACTAGAAGCTATCGGATAATCTTAGAATTCAATTTACTTGATAGAAGATGATATGTTGATAATGGAGGCCATACTTCTCACCANCGAGGACCCCCAACGTTGGGCATTATCCTGCTTATGTGGCTTATGGCTTTTCCCGCTTTTTCTGCTATTTTTCGAACATGAGCTCCCATTTTCATATTTCGGTCTATGTGGATTCCCAGGTATTCAATAAATTCTTGGCTACGGATGTTCGTTTCCTCCAATTCAATTGTGATACTTTTCAGTTTTCTGCCTGCTACCAGCAGTACTACTTCTGACTTCTGAGGGGCAAGCTTGAGTTGTTTCGCTGTCATTCACTACTACTGCTACTACTGCTGCTGCTACTACTACTGCTACTACTACTACTGCTACTACTACTGCTACTACTACTACTGCTACTACTACTACTGCTGCTACTACTACTACTACTACTGCTACTACTACTACTACTACTACTACTTCTACTACTACCACTATCACCACCACCACTAACTACTACTACTAACAATATTTCATCTACGCTTAGAAAAACTTCGTCGTTGCCGAGACCAACGACCAAGACTTAAATTTAATCACGAGCCCTCTCCCCAACTAATTTCACTGGTACTTAATTCTACTCGGCCACCCGTCGCTCAAAAAAAACAATAATTATATTAATTCATCCGGACGTCACCGACAGGGATGCGCGGAGGTCGGCGTATTTGTTTGCCAAACACATTCGCTTCTGTCTGTTTATCTTTCTTTTCCCCCAGTGATTTACCGTCGCCCTACGATTTATTATTGTGTTACTCGCCGGTAATAAAATGACAGATAATTTCGGGACAATCGAACTTCAATTACCCCCTCGATATATCCTCGGGACAACTACGATCGAAATCTTAATGGGTTTTGACGTAATGATGTGTAGAGGGTGTTTTTCAAGTGATGCTTCGAGAGGTTACAGGAAAAACCAATTCGGTGGTTCTCGGTGAAGATTTCCGATTAGTCGTGACCTTGGAAACAAATTTGGTCGCATGCTGTAAAAGTTTCATTTGTATTTGTCTCTGTGAAAGGAAACTTCATGAAATATCTGTTGGATTGACGAGAATGGAGAACTACTCTGTTTCCTAGTGTTTCCTTCATTTAACGAAAATCTCTGTCCTCCGAGCGCAGTTTTTAAATGAGAGAACAAACAGAAGTCGCTTGGGACTAGATCTGGTGAGTTAGGCGGATGGTGAAGCAGTTCAAATCGTAATTCGTGGATTTTCGCCAAGGCAACCGTCCTCAGTGGGACGGTCCGTTGTTTGGGTGAAAAAGGATTTTCTTTTTCTGCAAATTTGGCCGTTTTTCCGTAAGTTCTGCCTTCAGTTTCCACGTAAAAATGCGTTGTATGCTCCTGTAATTGTTTTTAGTTTTTGAAGCTAATCTTTTGAAATAACTCCATGACTATTCCAAAAAACAGTCGCCATCATTTTCCTGAATTATGAAAGGTATTTTAAGATTTGTCTTATCAAATCATTCAACAACATTGAATGTTTAAAATAATTACTACATTTTTCACTTTAACATACTCAATTATGTACTCCTATGAACTAGCGACGTGGAAATGATTCATGGATGGATGGATGGATGGATGGATGGATGGATGGATGGATGGATGGATGGATGGATGGATGGATAAACAGTTGCGGAAAATGACAGTCTAAAGTTCCATGACAGTTTAGGTTCCGTGATTTTAAAAATGGCCGACGACACGCCATACCCGTCACGTGGTTCCAGATCAGGATACGCGCCAGGCCAAATGGAATGTCTGGTCATGCCGCTGCTTATGAGCAATGTCGGAGGACAGTGGGACGCGTATGGGGTCTTTCACCCCGTGTGATCCCTTGGATCTAAACTGCAATAATAAGACCTATATTAACGTAATTAATTAAATCAATTGAAAATTATATCAAATACAGCGACGGGCTTGTTTAAACATCACAGGAGCCATGAAAACAACACCAACCGCAGCTATGGAATTAATTGAGGGTCTGACCCCTCTGGATCTGTACGTTAAGGCGTCAATGGCCATGGTACGATTGCGCACGGCTGGTGTAAACCTCGAAGTAGGAATAGGTCAATTGAGGCTGAGCCTATGGCGAGAAACGTTTACTGCGCAACCTCTGCTGCAGGCAACCAGTGATGCAATTGAACTCAGGTCTGTGTTCAATGAACCCTACAGATGCTACAAATGCAATACGCATATATACAGACGGCTCAAAAACCAAAGAAGGCTCAGGATGTGGAGTGTACTGCAGATCACTAAGCCTAAGCATTGAGTGGGGAGTGGAAAAAAACCAGCGTGGTTCAAACAGAATTTGCTGGTATCTCAATCGCCACAAAAGAAATATCCAGGAAAGGAATTTCTGGCAAAAACATAACAATCTGTACTGACAGCAGACAAAACCTATTAGCCTTGAACAGACAACTTGCAATCTCAGGGCTAGCACTAGAACGTCACCAAAATTTAGCCAATGCCTCGGTAGATAATAACATTATCCTGAGGTGGGTTAAAGGGCACGACAGGAGTAAATGTAATCGCATTGCCGACTCTTTAGCCAAGGAAGCGTCTGGACTAAGAATTTAAGGACCCAGTGGACTTACGGTTTGATGACTTCGACAATTGCGGAACTAGGCAAATGTTACACCCGTGCTCAATTCCTAAGAAGATGGGATGGAATTAAAGGATGCAATCTTGCCAGGATCACCTGTGGTGGCGCTGGAATGCTGGCGCCGAAGAAATATCTGGCGATGACCAGGAAAAGTCTACGCTCAACAATAGAATTTCTGACTGGTTACTGTCAATTGAGGAAACACCTCCACAATATGGGGCTAGTGGACACACCTCTATGCAGAATGTGTGAAATGGAAGATGAGACTGTCAGGCATGTCCTATGCGAGTGCCCGGAGTTATCGCCAATAAGAGAGTGTGTGTTCGGTGAGTCTTGGCCTACACCTGCTGATGTAAAGGAAATGTATCCCATTGACCTGTCCACCTTCCTAGGGGGACAACTCCTCGGGAGGATGTACAATGGGTCTCATGTGACCTAAGTGCTGTGGGCTTACACTCACCCTCCCTACTCTTCAGATACAGATGCCATCGCCATCTTGGGTTGATACTTTCTTTACTCATCCATTTTATTAATTTACTGCGATACATTTATTATCTGTTGGTACCCCAAAAAATTTTAGTAACATTAGAAGTTTGCATCTCCAGTTGATGCATACGAAAGCTCCTGGTTCAAATTTAGTTTCAGTCATTTGCTAATGATGCTAACTTCGTTAGCGGAACCCGCAATGGAGTCAGTTTTTGGTTCTGGAGTGAAAAAATTGTTTACAGACTTCATTAGACATAATTTTCATGTCCTTTATGTATAATATGCAAGAAATGGGGCTCAGTACTGAACCTCGAGTTACATCAAATTTAATTTTCGGTTCAGTTGAAAATATTCCCTTACCGAATCACTGGATGTTGAACACGTGGTAGAGGATGATGAAAAATCGATTTTCTTATCCTTTATGAGTTTCTCCAATTTGTCGTATTCGTCTCTCAGGTACCACAGGCCTTTTTTCAACATTTCGTTTTCTTTCTTCAATTTTTTTATATCTGATTGACCTGCAAAAATGAGGTATATTTCAATGAAGGCATCAACTGTTGCAAAATCCGTTCAGCTCCAATTTAGAGTTTGAAAAAAAATAATCAGGGTATTTGTGTGTTTTTTGACAAAACATTATCAACTTTGAAGATTCTCAATAACAATATCTCCAGTCTGTTCTGGATAATAAACATAGTTTACATTCAATTATCGAGCTCCTGCTATATTATTATCGCCTGTTTATTTTGAAAGATCGGACAAATTCATCATAATAGATTTTGTATCTTATTTATCTTACAAAATAAATCATTCAATAAAAACAATTTGTTATGTTTCTACTCGTTCTTAATTATTTTTACAAGCTTTTATTGAACTGGCGATGTTTGTATGTATATATGAATGTATGTAAGCATAGAAGAAATGAAAGTAATATACTCCTCTCTCGTAGAAAGTCATATCCGATATGGTATTGAAGCCTGGGGTGGTGCGCTTAAAACCCATCTCAATCGACTAGAAGTGATACAGAGACGGTTCTTGAAATTAATGCTACAGAAAAGCTCTAGATACAACTCTGATAGCCTCTACAAAGAAATAAAAATCATGGATATCAGGCAATTATTTTACCTTTGTGTGAATATGAAATACCACTTTCAAAAACATAAAGCTGATATTCCTAACCATGAATACAATACTCGAAACCGTAACAAACACATCCTACCGCATGCTACAAAATCAAAAACTCAAAGAGCATACTCTTATGTTTCAATAAAAATTTATAATACCCTACCAGGAGAAATAAAAAAATGTAAAAGTAAACAAAACTTCAAGAAAAAGTTAAAGAAATATATCAATGAAAATGAAAGGAATATGATCTCCCAACTATTTGAACCCTAGTGGAATACAACCAATGTATGTCATTTAACTTTTTTGTATTATTTGAATTGTATTCTTTATAGAATTTAAGCTGACTATATATATTAGTTTTAGAGTTGTATATTTTTAAAATTTTACCATTTGATAATTTTTATACATATATTTTTCCTTTTTTATTTGTCTATTTATCTGTTAATTTCAAGGAAACAAGTACTTTGTACTTATCCTTAATCACTTGTTCACTCCATGCAATTGTATTATTCATATATATTCATATATTNATCGACCTTCTATGGCTATTTTCACATTCCAGTCTCAAAAAATATGATTCGGTTTTTAGAATTAGCATATTCAACCCCTGTATATCTGAATGCAACCTATATTCCTAAAATTGATTGTAAACTCTCGAGAGTCGGATGTTTTGAACCTTCCCGTCATAACGTTTCTATGAGTTTGTTTGTTTTAGATATTTGAGATAATATACATACGGCTCTCCACTTCGGCGTTTATGTTGATGGTTTTCAAACGAAGCTCCTCATTCTCATAAATCATGCCCCGAGAGGATTTCCTGTCGAGTCTGAAAGCAAAAAAATACGTGAAATATCGGCCGTCGAAAAAAATCGCTTTTCACTGCAAACAGAATCCCATTTCAGTCTCGGTTGCAAAGAGAGATGTGAGAAAATGCCGGTCATGCTTCAAAACGATTATTAGAAACAGTTCATCGAAAATTGTTTCACTCGATGTCGGCTGAGAAAACGACAAAAATGTTGACAAGGTTTCAAGTATTAGTGAAAAAGTTGATGATAGCAATACAAAAAATGAGGGAATCTTCCAAAGAAAGGAAGAAAGTAATAAATTTGACAATAAGTAACTCTATACATGGATGTGTATTTTCTATTATGTTATCCAATTTGGTACTGAAGAGCCTTAGGGCAAGTGTCTTAAGGCTAAACATCGATGTATACCTGTGAGGATGACAGTGTTCCATGTAAGTGCAATTTATTACCATTCATTGAAAGTAGAACTGATGTGAATGATATCTGATCGTATTCCACAACGAATGTTTGAAATACAAACTGAGTAAAGAAAAGTATCTTCTGTATAATTCAGTGTTCATATAGAAGTATTTGTTTAGAAACACTTTTTTCTTTCGGGTAATTCAGTGTTTATATGAAAGTAGCTGTTTCAGGAGGACTTTCTTTCAGTTTGTGTCTGAAAGTTACTTCTTTGCATGATCTACACATCCATGTATAGAGTTACTTCCTTCTTTTCTTTGGAAGATTCCCTCATCCTTCTTTTTTTTTATCAAGATGGAGTAGTAGAAATCCAAAAACTTTCTTTCCCAAAAATTAATCACTCCTAAAAATATAACCCCTTCAATTCAAATTGATGATAGCACTTTTATCGTTTTGTGAAAATTAAACTTTGACAATTATACAGGGCGTTCCATTTCTATTTTTTATTTCTAGCGTGACTAATTCTGATATGAAAATCATACCAGAAACTTCACCCTTCTGCGGTCAGCAACTACCCTCTCTATTTTTTTCATTGGCATGAGGGGTCGAGTGAAACATCACTTGAAAGTTATTTTGTCCCTCTATTACCTCTGTGATTTTTTTCGAAATTGGTTCATTCGTTATTGAGAAATTAAATGTTGAACGTTTTATTCAAGGAAAAACAGAAAATTTGCTGTCGCTCATTTTGATGAGGGAATCAGCAACAGATAATATCAGTGGAAACAAAATCAACGGATAAATTATTCAAAATTACCTCCACCTGGTTCCATACAATAATACAGTCGACTCTCGAAAGCGTTCCTTACATTATTCAAGATGTCCGGAGCGATCGGCATTCCTGGACAATTCTCTGTCGCAGGTCTTCTAGATTTGTAGGCTTAGTAGAGTACACTTTCAACTTCAGGTGTCCCCACAGGATAAAGTCCATCGGTGTGAGATCAGGTGATCTAGCTGGCTACTTCACTGGACTCCTTCTGCCAATTAAACGCACTGGAAAGCGTTCGTCCAAAAAACTCTCTCACCCGAACATTAAAATGTGGGTGGTGCATCATCCTGCTGGAATGTTATTTCATCTTCTACTGAATTGTCATTATTTTCTAAAATTTGTGTAATCACAGGATCGACACAGTCTTGTAATAGATTTAAGGATGTGTCTCCATTGAGATTACCTTCAATGGAGGATTGTCTGACAATATGATTACCAAGAGTTTGTGAATGTGTTTCCATCATCAAATGAGGATTCATATCGCCCCAGTAACGACAGTTATGTCTATTCGCTTCACCATTCAACATGAAAAAAGTTTCGTTTGAAAAACATATGTTGTATGGTTTAGGTTATTGGTCAATTTCTCGCTGAACACCTCAAAAAACTGAAGTCGACGATCAGGATCATCTTCGTTTAATTTCTGAACTACCCTTATAATGAAAGGATGGAATTTGTAGGCTTTCAAAACCAGACGCTCTAGCTACTTGTCTGATAGATTGTCGATTATCCAATAGTATAGTTGAAGTAACTGATATAGTAATTCTTAAAGCTATCGGCGAACTCAAAGGCCAAAAAAACCAATACAAAGAAATAATGCCGCTACGAACTAGTCCACTTGGACTGAAGAACTGGCGGTTCGTATTGGATAATTTTTACTAACCGAGTTTTATGATTGGCTGAAGAGTTATAAAATTAAATTTGAGGTTATGTTACGGTGACTAATATAATGTAGCGATGGGTACCGCCGTTGTGTCGTCAATGTTAAGTTCAGGAACTGATCGGGATTTGAGTGTTGAAATTTGATATTAGTGAAGTTATAATAACTCAAAATTTTTGTTATTTGTTTCAAATGTGGCGTCCTTGGACAAGTACTAATAGTAATAACGAGTGTGATAACAACGCAGACTTTTTCCTGTGAAGTGATTCCAATAGCGATGGTAAACAATGCGAAAAAGAGATACCAGTGAATAAGATTCGGATGCATTTGAATATTGAAACACATAGAGTATGTTTCAATGTATATAAGAATCTATATATCAAGTTTGGTTTCGAGGGAAAAAAACTATTGCAAGCAACATCAGATTTGACCGAAATTCCTTTCTCATCTGTACGTAAAATAGTCAAAAACAAACCTTATGAACGCAAAACACGACGTGATGCGGGGTAACCAAAACCTTTAGATGTTCATCTAATAAAATCGTTAAAAAAAACAATACACGACTGTTACAAAAGCAATGAGATTCCTACAATTGAAATCTCAAGGAAGAAATCAAATACTTCCTGCCATAACGTGAGCTGCTATGACAAAACTCTTCAGAATTGGATAAAGAAACTAGGATTTAGATTTAAAATGATAAACAAACGTCAAGCAGTTATGGAAAACAGAAGAATAGTGGAATTGCATAAGAAATACTTAAAACAAATAACTAAATATAGACAAGAACAACGGCAAATTTTCTATTTGGACAAAACTTGGTATGACACTCACGACACTGAGTGGACTGATGGTTCGAGTATGTGTACGCTTAACATGCCTACAAACAAAGGATCGCGACTAATCATTGTGTATTGCGGAGGAAGTGAAGGATGGGTTCGGAATTCTTTGAAATTATGAGGGAAAAAACTTGAGGACTGCAATGTTGACTATCATGAGAACATGGAAGCTAATATTTTTGAGGAATGGTTTGAAAACACATTGATCCCAAATTTGGATGCGAATAGTGTAATAGTTCTTGACAACGCTTCCTATCATTCGCGACAGCTCATCAGAGTACCGAATAAAAATTCGAGGAAAGATGAAATACAAAGTTTTTTAATGGATAACAATTTGTATTTTGAAGATAACTATACCAAACACCAACTACTTGAAGTTTTACAGACAAAAAATTTGAAAAAGTGTATGCCCTTGAGAGTGTTGCTGAAAAATATGGGCACACCATATTGAGACTTCCTCCCTATTTTTGTGTTTTCAATCCCATCGAGTTGATTTGGGGAAAATTGAAACAAAGCATCAGGCGTAAAAATAATTTTCCATAATTTGATAAGAAGGTGATAGAGCTAGTTAAAGAAGAAGTATCTAATATTACCGAAGAAGACTGGCAGAAAAGGATCAAAAAAGTAATTTTGGTTTAAAAAGACTATATGGAGATTGGACACTTCCATATCCTCCTCCACCGCAACCCGCAAGGGTTTATTGTGGTTCACATCTATTCAAGTGAGAGTAAGTAGTATTCAGAAGTATTTTCAATCATCACTCTGTTATTTGAATCCCTACTTTCCCACTCATCTATATAAACGAAATATTTATATACATATTTTCTATCCTTTCTGCAGTAGAATAAACCATATTGGACACAGTGAACAAGGATGACTAAATAATAATTCGTGAAGAAGTGACAGTGGCCAACTATCTACTTTTTGTTCTGCGACAACTAGATTCAACAAAAATAATTATTAATGATTTTACTATTTTAAGATTACTGAAGTAGGCGAGCATTCACGAAAATAGAAAAATATGTTGATCAAAATACCAATCTTTTGCCAATAAATAACTGTGATATCATCTGATTTTTTGATTTGAATAAGTTTTTTTCGGGTCCAAGCATATCATTTTGGAGCGTTCCTCGTGAAATAGTTTGTAGAATAGTAGCAATAGTCAGAGAGTGTTTAAATTAGGAAAGACGTTAAGGAATTTACGAGAAAGTCAAAGAAAAACAACCTGTAGACAACCTCACCTATTGTTATTCCATTTATTTATGAACAACCAATCAAGTCATGATATGAGACTATTCGGCTGTAGACACGCGCGTCAAGAAGAGTGTTTCAGTTCTGGTGTTGGGAACAGTGCTTGTTTTGGATCTTTTCATTAATTTTAAGCAGATTATCAACTATTCTCAAATGTTACATATTTACTGAGAGTTATATTTTCACAAGATTTGTCAAATAGTGTCAACATTTTTGTGCCAAAAACTTCAAATAAAACGCCAACGTGGCTCTTCTCTTCATTCCTCAAGAAGTTATCGAGAAAAGCTGTTAAATTGTCTTATGCAATAATACAAATCCAATTGTTAATACAAATGCAACCAGTTGGGAATTTGTTACCTGCTAAACGTGAAATCCCTGCAATAAAAATTGAAACAACAGGTTAATAATGAGGCTCATACATTTTACAGTCGTTTTCAATGAATCGCTTCGCGAATTGATTTAGATAAAGAACATCGTTTGTACACGCAATGAATATGAAAAGCAAGAAGCAGATGATAGTTGATTTCTTTATCAAGCTCGCTATCAAAACCTGTTTTCTTTTGGGAGAAACTTGAGTGCCTTAGATTTTATGATGATACATAAACGGTTTTTGATTGAATTCATCACCAGAATTCCAATTGAAATTAACGATAATTTATAATTAACACGTTGTATCATATAGAAAATAATCATTGCACGGGATGGCAGTGACATATGGATTGTTTGGAAGTTTCTTTTTTTAGTGCAAACATTTCGTACATTTAATGTGTCCCTTCGTTTATTTACACGCCGCATTCAGGTGGAGCAGAGATTAAATATTTTTCTGGTTCATCTGGAAATAGAAAATTATGTACTTTCAACGCTTTCGTTTCTATCATTATTCAGCTGCGTTTCGGCATTTTCACACCTAGTGGTTGAACAGAGTGTCGAGAGGTATATGGAATTTGTCTGTATTATCTCGAAAAACATTAAATGTTTATTAATAGGGATTAACTAAATCAACAAGAAAACACAAGTAATTAATATGAGCAGTTAATAGGCATTGAAAATTAAAATTGAAGTGATAACTTTTTATGGGAGGGTAAACCTCTTTGTTACGTAACTCGTTACGGCGCCAGTTTGTCTGGCTTCTCTTTCTCTCACGGATACGTCAGCGGAAGGCAGGCTTCTCCTCTCTCGTCGGGCAGACCCTCAGTGTTTAGTGTAGAGATATGCTGTTGATAGTATTAAGCATAAAAATATCGTCAGCAAGCACGTGATATTCTTACATAATGTGAAACATGGCTTAAAAATTATGATACTAGTTGCGTGTACCGTAAAACGGGGTTACTTTGCCAACCCTCGGCTTACTTTGCACCATGCCTGTAAAAGTCTATTATCATCCAATTACAGGATGCATTGTTAAATTTAGCGGAGCGAAATTGTACGCTTGGGCTACCAGTCAGAGGCCGTCAGTTGGATTTCAAAAGCTAACCTTCAAATCTGCGTTATTTGTTGGGTGAAAAAATCTTCGTGGTGAAAGGCTCCCAATCGATGACAAATGTAAGTAAAATCTCATTCGCGTTCTTAATAATGTTTTCAACCGTGTACGAAGTGTAAGAGAGCGATTTAAATTCGAACAATGATTTTTTTCTTGTTTTTGTTATACGCATGCACATTCCTTGGTTAAATTCCGAGTATCCCACTCGGAAGTGGTGCAAAGTATCCCGGTGAATTTTCTTTATCTAGTTTTATTGTTTATAGAGGATGCCAAGGGTGTATAAAAGGGCCCTAGGCTCTCGGAGGTATAGCGACTACACGCAAGAAAGTCTGACTACATGTTTAGAAGCAATGAGAAATGGAATGAGTACCAGAGTAGCTGCGGAAGCTTATAATATGCCACGGAGAACCATTATGAACAAATTGTTTCCTGCATTCATCAAATGAGCGAATTTGGGTTCCCAGTGACTGAGATGGAGCTTCGTCAAATATCAAGGATATTTTTAAATAAGAAAGTTGGGTTTCTAGACATTGTTGATTACAGTTTCATTTAATTTTATTTCTATTGAAGAGGTAGAAGAATACCCCGTTTCAAAGAAAACCTTGCTGGCAAGGACTGGGTTAAAGCTTTCTTAACGAGGCACAAAGACCTGACAGTCAGGTTTGCCACCAACATTAAGAGGAGCTGAGGAGCTCTCAATCGTCAGCAAATGCAGGATTATATAGAAAATTTGAAGCAAACCTTGGAAGGGGTTCCACCACATGCAATTTTTAATTATGATGAAACGAATTTAACAGATAATCCTGATCAAAAAAAGTTTTAACCAAACGGGGCATGAAATACCCAGAAAGGATTGTTAATTCATCAAAAAGTTGTATATCCCTAATGATTGCAGGAAATGCAGTAGGTGAGGTTCTGCCACCTCATGTGGTATACAAATCAAAACATTCATGGGACACATGCACAGGAAATGGCCCACCAGGTACTCGCTATGCCAATACAGCATTTGGGTGGTTTGAGTCAGAAACATTTTCTGATTGGTTTTTTCAGCTGTTATTGCCAAAACTGAAAAAAATTTAAAGTAAAAAGGTTATTATCTGCGATAATTTATCTTCGCATCTGAATGTCGATGTATTAGCAGCCTGTAAGGATCATGATGTTCAATTTACCACCAAATAACACTCATGTAACGCAGCCCCTAGATGTGGCATTCTTTGCCCCATTGAAAAATGCATGGCGTGAAATTTTGTCGGATTATAAAGAATCCCACGTTGGAAGCAGATCAAGTGTGCTCGAAAAACGACATTTTCCAACACTTCTAAGACGACTGAAAACAGTGCTTCAAATTTAATAGCCGGATTCAGAAAATGTAGAATATTTCCTTGTGATTTAGGTCCCTTGCTAGAGCGATTACATAGCAATCGTAGCAGTGTCGGCAATCAAGAGAACATACCTGCGATAGAAAATTCCTTTCTTGAATCTTTGGAAAATTAAAGAAGGGAGGATACTCAGTTTCAAGTCCGGGGAAAGAAAGAGAAAATAACAGTTCCAGCCGGAAAAAGTATTGCTCACAGTGAAATCGATTCTGCTGATTCACCTGGAACTTCAGGAGTAGTTATCGAAAAATCCAAAAATTCAAAAAAGAAAAGGGGAAAAGAAGAGGACTCAGATAAGCTTCTGAAACTCACAGATTCAGATGATGAAGTTGATGAAATACAAGACGTGGAGAAAGAAATTGAATTCACTGAAAAACTTGAATCTGGTTATTTTACCAAATCTGCAGCCGAAAAAATCCAAGAATTAGGTCTATAAGATATTCAGAAAGCTGTAGGCGAATATGTTTTAGTCTTATATGATGGCAGTCCTTATCCTGGAGTCATAACCGAAATTGAGGGTGAAATGATTAAGATTACCGCAATGGTGAAGTCACTGAAATCTTGGAAATGGCCCGAGAAGCTGGTAAAGCTGGGACAAAATACTTGGTGCGATAAATGCACCTAAGCAAATAACCAAACGTGGTTTATATTCTGTGCCTGAGTGTGACCGATTTGGATGGAATTAATGTTTATCAGATTTGTGATTACCTATGTTCAATTCATTTTAGGTTAAGTGTTATGCCTGATTGAATATTTCCTGTATTTTTTCAAATAATAAACTATAACAATCTCAAGTTGGGTTGATTATATGCCTAAATCCATATATAAAGATAAAAAAAATCTTCCTGTCGTGCATATGCTGTTCCTAATTCGTTATTGCATGTCTGGCACTAACTAAACTTAGTTTGATTGAAGAAGGCCTTACGTTTACAAGGATACAGCCAATGCTGTATTTCAAGCGGAAATTTAAGCTATTGAATTGTGTGCGAGAGATTGGATTAATCCAACCTCACTCACAAGTCAATAAAAATATTCTCGGACAGTCAAGCGGCGTTGGAACCTCTTGGCTCCTACCGAGCAACGTCTAAATTGGTAACAAACTGCCAAAAACGACTCTCCTCGATAGGAAGACTTAACCTGAAGGCAATGAGGCTGCTGCAGAGGTGAGTGCTGTAAGCAGCTTCATCGGACCAGACCTGTCTTAGGCATCGCTTTAGGCTTTGCCAAACAAAGATTGAACACCTGGATGGCAAGAAGATTTATGGACTTCTGGCAGAATCTTCCAGGATTGGCTAATTGCAAGGCGTTTATTCCCCCTTCGAAGCTTGATACCAAACAGTTGTTGGTCTACAGTAAGGATGAACTACGATGTCCAACAGATCTTCTCAAAGGTCACTGTCGTCCGAATCATCATTTGCAGAGACTCGGGACTGTCGTAAGACAGTGTGTCGCCTCTGTTTGGAAAATGATGAAACAGCAGAGCACCTACTTTGTGCCTGCCCCGCTGGGGATCAAATCAGCTTTTTAGAGTTCGGCAGAGTCGACAGGCCTTCTCTTCTAGTTTCTCTAGTGTGTCTCAAAGTTACTTCTTTGTATGATCTACGCATCTTTGTATAGAGTTAATTTCTTTAAACTTATTGATTCCTTTCTTTCTTTGGAATATTCCCACATTTTTTTGTATAAAGATAGAGAAGTAGAAAGCTAAAAACTTTCTCAAAAATTACTGGCTCCTAAAAATATACCCCTTTCAATTTTAACAAGACTTCTGATGACTGTTCTAATAGTTCGTATCTATTTAGTACCATTTCGAAATAGTGAATATTTATATTCACACAGGAAACACGAAACATGCAATTTCTCTATCTCGCAAACAACTGGGTTATGTTTCTTGAATTCATGTAAGCATAAATACCAGTTGATTATATATTCAACGAATTTCTTTTCCTGCTTTCCTCCCACGTTATGTTTTCTTCTGTTCAAAAGTAAACATACCTATTTCCGAAAACTTTCAATTATATTTTCGGTGATTCGGTAAGAAAATGTTATCCGTTGTTTTCCAGGTTGTAAGGGAAAATCTCGTCGAACTTTTCTCACGGTTCCACCTAATTTCACACACTCCACCACTGCCACAGCTGAAGTCACTGTCAATCTGTCTTCCTAGCAATTCGTTCCGTCACTTTTTAGGTTAAATATGGCCGCCTTCGGATTTTGACTCACTCGGCTCCACGTATTGTCCCTGAATGCCCTCGCGTGTTTTTTTTATTCGTTTTCCCGTATTTTTTTCACGTCAGCCAGTTCTCATTTAATTCATTTACTAAATCACACTGAACGGGATAGGTCTGAAAATGAATTGCTCACTTCGAAATGTTTATATCTTTGAAATCTCGATTCTAAATATATCGAAAATTTATTTTCGGAGCGTGGATAATCGCCGATCCTATGGCGATTCTGACCCGTATTCCCCCAGCGACTAAGTCTATTTGATGAACTGTGAAATCCGTGATAATAATTTTTTATGTGCCTACTAAATTTTTGGCATTATGGGTGTTTGCTCTGCGTCCATTGGCTAGCAATATTTGAAAACATACGTTCGGATTTATTCAGTATATTTCTGGTTTTTCGGGAACATATGTTGTCTGTACTTGACCCATTAACCCATAAAATAGTGTATTTCTTATTTTCAATGAAACGTTAATCACCCCCGAAAAGTGGCTGCATCCATTCCCAGAGTAAAAGCAACCCTCGATGCAGAGTAAACTTTGAAGTAGAGGCCAATTAGAACCTAAATCAAGATTTTTATGAACATCGGTGCTGTCTGACAAACTTATACGAAAAAAAGGTCATTGACTGGACTATTCACCGCAGCAAGACTGGCTAATGCAGTCCGGAGAACAACTACTTTCCCGGCTAATACCACAATAGACTTGGATTGTATTCAACAGGCATCCGTGCAGGTTTCCTCACACGTTGTTATGCCACATACATTATTTCTAGGGAATTTCTAGGGTAGAAAATGATAAGTAAATTATTGTGAGTGTGTGTCAGAAAACTTAACAAATAATATCAATCCCTCAATGCTATAGTGTGTTTGATATTTTTCGTTAGTTTATGTTTAGCTAACACAAACAAACTGGATGGTTTGCTCACTAGAGAGCATGTAACGTGTAATTGTCCATGTGAAAGACATGGTGTGCTATCTAATTGGAAAATGCATACGTTTAAAATGAATTGGCACATCTGTAGATATAATATATGTTCATCTCGGGACTAGCCATTAACAATGCTGTCTTCGACATTTTTCAATGACTAATCACGTGCCGTTGCACAGCCGTGGCGGATTCAAATCACGGAGCGATCCAACCTTCATTTGTAAATTATGCGGTGGCATGTCTGGCAAATCCAATGAGTTCAAAAACTCTGTTGGATAATTCAGTTTCGAGTCCAAACCCCTGAGAACAAAGACATGTGACTTGTCCTCCGGCAAGGTATAGGAGTAATATTCAGCATTATTGTTGTTAAGGTGTTGACTATAGTGTGGTGATGGGTTTTATCCTTTGTATCCTGCAGTGTTGAGCGCACAGTATATTTGAACTCAAAACCTGCCTGTAACTCCTGCTTCATGGTCTACAGGTATTCCTTGCTCATTGGGAGCATTCCTTTTATGTCAATTAGGGGATGGTTTTTCCCTGTTTGCCTTGTCATGTTCTGGGTTTCTCAGTTTTGTTCTTGTTGTTTTGGCTCCATCAGTGGCATGTGGCACCGTCTTGATGAAACCACATGTCAGGTATGTTCAATTCTTCCATTTTGGGCAACAAAAAGTCGTCAATCATCACACGGTAGCGCTCGCCATTCACAGTAACGTTCCGGCCATTGTCGTCTTTGAGAAGTATGGCCCGATGATGCTACCGGCCCATAATTCACACCAAACAGTGACTTTTTCGGGATGCATCGGTATTTCTTGCAATGCTTGTGGCTGGTCTTCACTCCAGATGCGGCAATTTTGCTTGTTAACGTATCCATTCAACCAGAAATGAGCCTCGTCGCTGAACACAATTTTTCAATAAAAATGTGGATCTTCCTTCAACTTTGTCAGAGCCCATTCACCAAATGTTAGACGTTGTGGGAGGTCGTGTGGTTTCAATTCTTGCACCAGCTTCATCGTATAAGGTTTTGCACCCAAATCCTTTCGCAAAATTTTCCACGTAGTGGAGTAACAGAGACCCAATAGCTGCGAAAGGCGGCGAATCGACATTTCACGGTCATCACGAACACTGGCGAATACAGCCGCAATATTTTCTTCGGTCCTCACTCTACGTATGCGTGTTGGTGATTTAATGTCCAATAATGTAAACCGGGTTCGAAATTTAGTCACAAGCTTCCGAATAGCTCCGTCAATAGGCCGACGAAACTGCCCATAAATTGGAAGAACTGCACGATGCACTTTCTTCACCGAGCATGAATTTTAATAATAAAGCGTTGCAAGCGTTGTTCATTCGTAGGTCGATTCATGGTTAAATTATAGACCAAACTGAACAAGTTTGACAATGACACAAGACACGATTCACGCGTGATCTGTCAAAAACAGTGTTGCCAAAAAGATACCAGCAATAAAAAAACATTCATTACATAGAATAAATTCAGAAGTTATCATGAATTTCCACAAATTAAACAAGTCATCAATCACACAAATAATAATAATGACAGAAGTCAGCCATTTTATTTCAATTTTTTGTTTCAGTTATTCTGTCCCACACACAAGAATATGAAGAAGACGACGAGGACTATGAAGATTTTTCCAACATAAACTCAACTTCTAACGGTAAGAAAACAACCTCGGAACGTTTCATATCTTTTCACCCACATTTGAGTAGATGCCTTTCAGTTGAATATAATATTTGCCAAGTAAAATAATTGCCGTCGTTATTATAGTTATTGCTTTTTTACAGGGTCATTAGTTTTCATCAACGAATTATACAATATAACGAGGGATCCAGGCAAGCAGGTGAAATTAGTTTGCGAAGTTAAAAACTCCGATACGAATAATACAAACAGCAAGGTATCTTTCAATTGGAGGCATAATGAAGTTCCTATAGATTCGAATGATAGGTTCAAGATAAGGAATAAGGTGAGCCGATCATTGAAACATGATTATTGTAGATTGTGGGGGGATCAAAAATATTTTCCAGTCCCAATATTGTACGTCGTATGCGCTATTTCGGATATACATTTTTCAGTTCATCATCGATTGAAGGTTGTTTGAAAGCCAAGTAAAAGAATATGAACATGCCTGTTTGAATTTACCTAAATGAGAGCGATGACATCACCCCTTACGAAGACGCCATCTATGGAGTCGACAGAGAACTAAATCCTCGAATATCAAAGATGAAGCGGTTTGAAACAGTGCTGTCTGGTGTCAAATCATAAATGCGTTGAGTTTGAGCTCTGATTTTCAGCTCAATGTGACTGTTGGACTTTATTTTCGAATCTCAAGGTCCGAAGCTCTACTGTTCCTTACTGATAATGTTTCTTATTAGTCAGTGGGCTATGCTTGAAAACTGGCAGTAAACAAATCCAAAGAAATGAACTTCAAACTTCAGTACCTCGTCCACTAGATGGAGTGACATTTTGTTGTTCGCTCCAACTTAGGAAGAGGAAGGAAATACTCTGAAAAAATTCCGACTTTCATTTATGGAATATCATTGACTTTAGGTCGATGATGGTCACCATCTTGCACTGACGAGTGGCTAAGGAGCTCGAAATCGGTCTGCAAGTGTGCCCGTTCCAAAATTGAAGGTCGACTCTTTCAGTTGTATTACCAATTGCAGTTGGTTGGGGGAGTAGTTGTTTTCTGATAGGCGTCAGTCCATTAAACCTACTGTGTAGGTATATCCGAGACTGGCTTGAACATTTAAAGTTCATTTAATAAGAATATTTCTACTCTTGTTTTTGTCAGTGAATCTTTAATGCTCATACTCTCTCGACCAACTTAGCCGTTGAGCAAAGAAGAGTGATTGGCCGGTGATTCTGCGGACTCCAGAATCGTTCTCATCTACTTCCAATTTGTGAAAAAAATACCTGAGAATGAGCTGTTGATCTACCAGCAATCTAATTTTCCTTTCCAGCAGCTTTTTCAACGAACGCTACGTCGCTACGGACCTACTTTTTTTCCATTCAGATCAATGTCATTTTTGGATCCAAGTTTTTACTGACGTTCCATCGTCTTCATATCTTCGCGACAGGGAAGTAATAGTAGCCTCGACAATGAACCAAAGCTCACGATTTCCGAATTCATGGCCCTCTGGAGGTTTCTCCGTCGACCTATCGTTTCAACACTAGTTGAAAGTCGTTTTTCTATCTAATAAAAGATGTAATCCGCTTATGAAACTCATTTATGGTATGACCAGAGATTGATGGCCAACCCGAGAACATCGTTTATGATAAGCAATGCCTCAGTGATCCCCTGCCACAGGGAATCACTGCTAGGTAGCTGAACTGAGCTAAGTTTCACCTTAATGTTGATGGTAATGATGATAATCTATGAAAACATTCGGGTAGAACACTGGGTCCATCGTGTTCTTGTGGAGAGCGAAGACGATATTATCTGACTATCTTTGAATGGGAAGCTGACAGGCTACACCGGGGCCAGTCAGAAAACGGCTACTAGATACCCGCTGGTTATAATCAATAGTTCGCCGACTCCCAGGTACTTCTCTCGAAGACAGAAGCAAGCTAATTGTCATCATGACTCACAGCACTTAGGCCACATTTGACTCATTGTACATCCTTCTAAGGAGTATGTCCTCCTAGATCATCCTGTCCTTTCCAGAAACGTGAATAGGTCACTAGGAGACATCTCCTTTATATTGGCAGGTGTAGACCAATACTCACTGAACATACACTCTCTTTGGCAACCTTGAGGTTAGCTTGGATAGGCTCGTCCACGGTGGCATGGGGGGTTTTAGTTCCCCTCACCCTACTTATTTCTGCCACTGACCAGGAGTCCGGCAACCCCGTCTGTAAGGCCACATAGGCTTCCCGGACGGGGCCTCCAGTCCCCTGGCCGTTCCCCTATCCGCCACCTAGGAACGCGACCGATAGGTAGCCCAACCCACAGGGAACATGACCCTAGGTATAGGATTACCTCTGGTTGAAAAACTACTCTGCAAAGCTGACTGAAAGAATCGGTCTGCAACGGCTAAACAGAGAATGGATTAACAGTTTTTATTCAGGAGAGAAAATTCCTCAGAGATAGAAGCTTTGAAGAACCATCTACGAGCTAAACCTAAACAGGAACGCCCACGACGTTCTCTTTGATATGGTGAAGGCCTTGGCATGAAGACCTTCTACATAAGATGCTCGATTTTATCTCCATTGGTGCCTGATCCGATAGGTTGCGTTCTTCAGTTTAGAGTTGGAAATCCAACAGAGAGATCCTCGTTGAATTAACATCAGCTACACGTTCATAACAAAAACGTAATAGTGAACTAGTACGACATGAAGATATTAACAGGTTTGAAGTGCTATTCATTTAGTCATGTGATTATCTTGATTTTTGGGAAACAAAATAATTCATTATTAATAACCCAAACATTCGGTTTATAAATGTCGTCCCTGGACCTTCTGAATTCGAATAGAAATGTGTGAATGATCTCTGTTTTCATCTTCTGTACGAAAAGTATGTTTTCATTTAGATGTCGCCTACTTTATCTTTCCACTCATTCACCGGCTTGTATATTTTTTTCACATATTTTATTTCAAAAAAATAATCGTTAACATCATTGATTGCTTTATTATTCGCTTCAAGATATAACATTTTTCACTTGTATTGAATAACCTTAGGTTGAAAATATTTCCTTCAACCACAGATCAAAAAAGAAAAGTTATAAAGAATCGTTGAAAATACTAATGGAGAAGTTGACGAACATCAGTGAAATTGATGATCTAATATCGATATACGAGGGTTGCCTTTTATGTTTCGGGATTTGGCAACCCTAGTGTTGCAATCTGGCAACTGACAGCTCTATCGTGAAGTTGGATATTTTTGAGTTTATATATATTGACTTTATCACAGTAGTTATTTCCCAGTCTCAACATTTCAGATAAAGGAGAATGATAACCATAGTTGGTTGAGTGATACGGTGTAAAAAGTAGCTTTTTTTGTCTAGTGGACCTCTGTGGAACGTTGAAGTTGATAAGAGATAGAATTTCCGGACAATCAATGAGACCAGATATAATTTTGAATAGATAAACCAATGTCGCAGTTGTTCTTCTATCCTCAAGACTCGACAGAGATAATATACTCATCACTTCACTGTAACTGTATTCACCTATAACCAACCCTAGTTTGTATGCCATGGTCCTTAGAAATTTATTTTGCACATTTTCTAATTGTTGTTTATACTTATGGTAGTAGGGACTCCAGATGATGGTGTTATACTCTATGATAGGGCGTACTAAAGAGCAATATAATACTTCGGTTGTGAATGGAGAAAGATTGGTTGATGATCTCACAATAAAGCCGAGCATTTTTAGAGCTCTCATAGAAACAGAATTCACATGGTTGTTGAAACAAAGCTTGGCATCTAACAATATACCCAAATCCTTACACTCTTCTTTACATTCCAACATTTCATCATTCAAAAAATATTTAAATTTGATTGGTGATCGAGACCTACTGAACATCATTGAGTAGCATTTCTTTGTGTTGAGATAAAGACAGTTTGCTTCACACCAATCAGAACTGGAGAAGAAGAAGAAGATTAGCATCATGGACACTTTCTACAACCTTGAAAATTTTCAGGTCATCGGCAAATAACAAGATTTTTGAATTAGTGATATTTGAGCTAATGTCATTGATAAAAAGGCATGATCCCTGTGGTACACCTGATTTTACAAAAAGAGGCTCTGAAACTGTACTATTCACTCTAACTGATTGAGAGCGTCCAATTAGATAACTGTCAAAAAAAATTTGTTCGCGTTGGATCCCACACAATTTGTCATTCGCTCAAAAAAAAGGTTCGTGTCGGTTGGTCGAAGCTAATGCTCAAAAATTACGATCGCAGTGCTTAGAAACACGTCTATGACATCGTGACAGGTGCTGAATCGTGGATTTACGCGTATGAGCCCGAAAGTAAACAGCAGTCGACTGTATGGGTGTTTCAAAATGAGCCAAATCCAATAAAAGTTGTTCGCGCACGGAAAAACTTGACATGTCTCAACCGTACCACTAGAACAATGCAGAACAGTCAATTCTGAGTGGTACACAACCACTTGTTTGCCAGTTGTCTTCCAAGAAATCGGGAAAACCAACCGCCGAAGACGGATCACTCTTCACCACGACAATGCGAGCTCCCACATATCGGCTCAAACAACTGCTTTTTTGAGCACCCAAAACATCAATTTGATGAGTCATCCGCCATATAGTCCTGACTTGGCACCGAATGACTTCTTTCTATTCCCGTGAAGAAGCGGTTGCTGCATTCAGAGTGCATGTTTTGGAGATACCTCAATCAGAGTGGCATAAGTGCTTCGATAATTGGTTCAGACGCATGCAAAAGTGTATAGATCTTCATGGGGAATATTTTGAAAAACAATAAAGTGATTTTCGATGATTAATATTTGTTTTTGTTCTTTAATCCCGAAATATAAAAGGCAACCCTCGTAACATGATTTCTAGTAGAGTGATTAGAAGAAACAGAAGAAAGGGTTTTATTATTTCATGTTACGAGTATATGATTTACCGTGTTTTTCAGCGTTTCACAATTTTGTTCTAGAACGAATGAAATAATTTAGAGCACTGTCTCAATTTTGTTTATTTACCTGACGTAAGTGTGATGAATTTTCAAGATCGCATTTGAGTAACATTTTCAAATTAGATTGAGTTCGTTCAAAACGTTAACCTACAAGTAATTTCATATGTTTTGCTTTCAGGGAAAAGACTCCATTTTCACCTCTACGCTTCGGATATCAAAGTTGGAATTCTTCGACAGGGGTTTCGTTGAGTGCATAGCTAGTAATGGTATAGAGAAGATACGATCAGTCAGCTTTCTCGAAATAAGTCAAGAATTGCATAAGTATGGTGAGTGTATTACGTTATTTGTTATCAGTTCGTCTTCACGACATTCGTATCTTAGAAACTTCCTGGATGTTACACGTTTTTGCTTTCTTCTTTTGCGTTTAACACGTTCTTCATTATATTTTAGGTATCACCGACATAAATGCGCTCAAAGTGGACCGTCCAGATCTTGAAAGGTAGGTGTCAGGTTGTTTTATTTAATACTAGCGATCCGCCCCGACTCCGCACGGGTGCAATGCTGATACTAAATGTACATACAGTGCATTTCTTTAACGTCAGCCCCCCTTTTATGTTTTGAACGAGTCAACTCAAAAAATTGAAATTTGGGATAATGAAATTAATGCATGAATACTTTATTTTGAAGTGAAAATGACAGATTAAACTTTCAAGATGGCGACTGGGCGCCATTTGGGAACAAAAATTAAATCGAAAGGGGGGTCTTGTGTCACATCATTTTGAAGCTCCTGACGAATACTTCACAACCCTAGAATATGAAGTCAATATCTTCACCTACTACAAAATGGCAGAACATTTAATAATTTCCTGAAGACAAACACAATAATATCGATATTTATAGAAATATTCCTTTTTATCTGCCATATGGCAGATAACGGAAATGTTACAGACAAAATTGCCGTTATTATAGTGACACCAACCCTCACGTTTTCCGGGAAACACATACCCAATATCCAGAAAAAATTAACGTATAGGCAGGAATATTGGGAAACCATATTGTAAGACCTCTATTTATTGATAAAAATTTAACAGAGAAACTGTATTTGAAAATGCTGGTAACTACTATTGACGAAACCGATTGAAAGCAACTTAGAGTGTTCTGTATTCAACAAAGAGAAAATCAACCCAGCGGTGATCAAGGCTGAATTCAGAAGAATAATTGAGACATACCCGAATACCCATATAGTGTACACGCATGGATCGAAGACTGAGCAAGGAACTGGAAGTGCCTTCGCATGTTTGGGATCAACCCACTTCTGGACCTCACCGAATCAAGCGAGTGTTTTCACAGCAGAACTATATGCAATCTGGCAAGCATTACTATACATGGACTTATGTAATTTTCATTCATACATCCTTTGCACAGACTCGCTGAGTTCTATTCAAGCAATTGAAAACTCTTTCAGTAAACATCCGCTGGTTCAAAGAATCTTAACACTGATGAGTTGTCTCCAGTCCAAAGGAAAATCGATCGTATTTGTTTGGGTTCCTAGTCATATAGGAATTGACGGTAATGAGAAAGCTGACACTGCAGCAAGAGCTGCAACTGAGAATAATGTCGATCTGAATATACCTGTGAGTCCAAATGACACAAAAAAATTCATGAAAAACTCAATACTCAACACATGGCAACACGAATGGACAAACAACGATTCAAAATTGAAAGATATCAAACCTGATATTGCAGCCATGAGACTTCCACAAGGGCTAACGAGAAGAGAACAAGTCATAATAACACGACTTAGGATAGGACATACGAACTTAACATCCTCTTATATACTGAGAAGACAAAGACAACCATCCTGCGAAAATTGCCAAACTTTGATGACGGTTAAACACCTTTTCTTAGAATGCCACCAGTATGAAGCCGATCGACAACGATATAACTTACGGGATAATATCAGAACTTGCCTCGGTACCAAAGCTATAAGAAATGTTTTGAACTTTCTAAAAGCAACAGACCTTTTTAACAAAATATAAACAGATATCGTATACTACAAAATGGCTAATGACCTCAGCAGTCGATGCCAGAATAATAATAATAAAAAAACTACTATTGACCCTCTCATCACTGAAATCAAATCCTAATGAATTCGATATGGATATTGTATTTCAAAAAGATGGAGCACCACCACATTACTCCAGACAAGTAAGAAACTATTTGGATACTAGTTTTCCCGGCCGTTGGATTAGCCGTCGAGGTCCTACAGAATGACCAGCCCACTCGCCAGATTTGACACCTTTGGAGTTTTATGGGGCTATTTGAAGCAAAAGGTGTACAAAACTGAACCTGCTTCAGTATTGGATATACGGCAGAGAATAATAAATATTTGTAGAGATATTGACCTTACTGTATCGAATAGGCTGTTCATATGTCAAGAAGTTCAAGGCAACTATTTCGAGCATCTTCCGAACTGACCTCAAGCTTATTACCTCATATTTTGTAGTTAAATGTCAATGTATTCAGGCAATTATTAAAAGTTCCGCAATTTTGTAGTAGTTGAAGATATTGACATTATATTCTAGGGTTGTGAAACATTTGTCAGTAGCTTCAAAAATATGTGTCACAAAACCCCCCTTTTCCATTAAATTTTTCTTCCCATTTGGCGCCCAGTCGCCATTTTGAAAGTTTCATCTGTCAATTTCACTTCAAAATAAAGTATTCGTGCATTAATTTCATTATCCCAAATTTCAATTTTTTGAGTTGAACCGTTCAAAAAATAAAAGGGAGGGACATCAAGGAAAAGCACTGTATGGAGTACAAAATTCTCTAACCCATCTATCGATAGATACCATGACATAGTAGAGTAAATATTCATTTTGAAATGGAACTACAGAAAAACGTGACATTAAAACGGATAAAACCTTTGAAATTACCTAATATATACAAGCAATAATTTGTCTAAGTGCCCATTATAAGGCAACTGAGTGAATTCAGTATCATACTTACTCATGCATTTGAACATAGATAGCAGAACTTTCCACAGTCTTTCTTGTAATTGTCAAACATTTTGAAATCAATAATAATATTTGTTAGCAATCCCTGATGCTCATGTTTAGAGATGTTTTTGACCTATTGGTGGAACGTTCGTTTGTACTCTTCAAATTGCAGTTCCACCCAATACCTACCTACTCTGTGAGATATAATTGCCAAACGATACGAAACCTAAGACTTCATGTATCGCTAAAACTTTAAGTGTTCTCTCCATACTATTTGTCTGGATTTATTAATGATTCACAATTCCATTGCTTCATCCGTATTGTTGTCCAAAATTGGTTGCTGCACATACTTATTTTTTCTTTGCCGCCTGTGACTAAAAGTTTTTTTTTTATTGTAGATTGTGGGGGGATCAAAA